GTACGAAAATTTTATTAAAATATACAGGGTGGTTTCAAAGTTATAACCCTAAACGTTAATTTCTAGGTACCCCTTTGACCCCCCATAACTCCGTTAGAGGGCACATTAGGAAAAAGATTATAGGAAGGACTAGCTTTATTTTGACCTCCCCTATACACTCCCGAGAGATTAGGAGGTACTTACCGGACACCCTGTATATTTGACGCTCGAGGGCTAGTTTTGTAGGCCTTTTGAAGACGAAAAAAAAAGTACTTGTGGAATTGAATGGAAAAAAGTTACAAGCGAAAAACATGAATTTACGTAAAAATTATACAATTAACCACCCTGTAAACATTTTTATGACTGTGGAAACTAATATGTTATTGTACATAATATTTATCATTTATAGTGATAAATTCAGCTTGCCGAAACAAAAAGTCACATCCAAGTCTATATTTCCTGGACTATTACAGAGCAATTATATTTAAATCACAATGAAGATCTACTGCTGCTAGTAAAAATTATAATTTTTTTCTAAATGCAAAATCAAACTGTTTTTTCGTAAGTATTATTAAAGTTGAACGACTTTATTGAATATCGTATATGTAAAAATAGTGAAATAAATATGTTTATACAGAGGGTTAAAAAATTGTATATACAATGTTAAAAATAAGGAATACTTCAAAAAATAAGAAAAAATAGTTCAGATGTCTCCGAGACACAAAGCGTTCGACTTTTCATAAAAAAAACTGTTTTTCTTTACATCTTCCAAACCGATTGACCAAATCAATTCTAATAAGATTTTAAGTACCTAATAAATGATTGCAAACTATAAACAAAAATAGATTTTTGTCATGTGTCACTTATACAAAATAATATATAAACTAAGTATATTCTTTATAGTCGTTAATTTAACAGTTTGTCAAATATTTATTACATATTTAATCTTTATTAAGCGATACACTACAATCTCATGAAAATTCACGGGTAATACCTAAGTCGAATTCCTTATTTGATACTTACTGCTAACATATTTCTGCAATTCATCTTCTGTAACATCTAGTCCTTCTTTTTTTACGACAAAAGCTAATGGTAGTTCCCCTGATAGTTCATCTGGTAGCCCAACTACTCCTACGTCACGAACCTTTGGATGATTCAGTAAAAGTGCCTCCAATTCAGCTGGAGCTACCTGAATATAAATATAATTCCACGTGATAGATATATTATGTATTTTACTAGTAGGTACTATAAAACTACAAACTTTGTAACATAATATAGGTACATTTAGACTATTGTATAGCTGTGTTTGTAGTTCATTTGTTCCTCGCAGAAATTGATTAATGTTTGATATACCATTACCTGATATCCTTTATATTTAATTAATTCTTTGAGCCTGTCCACTATATAAAAATTTCCTTCTTCATCATAGTATCCTAAATCGCCAGTTTTTAACCATCCGTCAGAAGTAAAAGTCTCTCTCGTTGCTTTTTCGTCATTATAATACCCCATCATGATAAACGGTCCTTTGCAGCACAGTTCGCCTGTTTGATTAGGCCCCAGGCTCTTTCCAGTTTCTGGATCTCTTACTTTGCATGTCATAAACGTTCCAACCTTACCACATGATCCTGGTTTTTGATTCTCCTTATCAGCTATTGTAACGGCGAATGTTGCCTCTGTTAGTCCATAGCCTTGACGGAATGATTTCAAGTTTTTCAGCCTGAAATTTGTATGTAAGGATATATGATTAGTATTTATAGTCATAATTAGAAACGTTGTAAATTATTACTTTAGAGGATGAGGTTACATGTTATCACTAGGATATACCGTTATGGTCCTGTTTATGGCGCATATTCCGAGACAGCGACCGCAAGTCATCGGTACATATAGTCCACGGGCCCACGTACAAAGAAAGAAATAATTACCAGCAAGCTGTAACTTTGCGTGCAGCTTAAGTTTGACGAGTCTCCCAAGATTTGATTACGAGGAAAATTCAACAGTGGTAAGTTTTCCCGTGACTTTCAGGAAAACATGTCAATCTGGTATAGACATGGAATGTTATGACCAGCACTTTTTTTTAGTTTAAATGAAAGATATATATTTTTTAAACCCCCCAAAAATTTGTCCGACAAAAATGTTGGGTATTTTAAGTTTGTCCCCCACCCCAAATATGTCGATTTGGTGACATTATGGTTGGTGACAACCAGCAAGCTGATTTTTCTGGGAAGGTTTGGTATTAAAATTTGAAATCAAAGTATCTTATTGTCCGACAAAATTCTTGAGAAGTTTTTGCAGTCCGACGCCCCGATGATGTCGATTTAACGACAACATGGTTGGTGATAACTTGATATTTTTCTGTAATAATTGAAATGTATAACACAATAATATATTTGTCCGCCAAAAAGATTGGGAAGTTTGCCTTAAAAGTGGGAAAAATAACAATTTTCGTGGTACATAATGTTCATTCCGCTATAAAATAATAAATTTTTTAATCTTGTTAACAGGAGCAACAGAAATTCATAAATAATTATGGCTATAAAAATTAATTTAATTAATCTCCATCAAAATGATTTCTTTGTTCCAAAAACATATATGTACATTTTATTTTATAAACTATTTAACTATTTTATAAAAAATGGTAACTGTAAAATGAATGCATAAATTTTTGCTTGAGTTTAAATTAAAATTTGCAATCTTGTTTTGACAATTTACACATAGTTTTGTTCTTGAAAAACCAATTAAACCAATTTTAAAAATATTATTTATACATTTATCAA